CTATCCTGAGTGACTGTTTAGAACAGAGACCATATATTAAGGGGGTAAATTTCAGTGTAAATTCTTGAGACAAACATCTATGGACAACAGTTAAAGTGTAACCTTATTTTAGGAAAGGAAAGAAGGGAGAGAAAGAAGAAAGAAGGCAGATTTCCTAAAGATGTCTTTAAAAGGATTATTATAACCAAAGGTTGATGTTCTCCCAGTGAGAGAGAAAATATATGAAAACTCCTTGACCTTAAGTGAAATCCGTGGTAGCGATACATTTTCAGAAACTCATGTATGGGGGCGCCTGGGTGGCTCAGTCGGTTAAGCGTCTGCCTTCGGCTCAGGTCATGATCCCAGGGTCCTGGGATCGAGCCCCGCATCGGACTCCCTGCTTGGCAGGAGGCTTGCTTCTCCCTCTCCCACTCCCCCTGCTTGTGTTCCCTCTCTCACTGTGTCTCTCTCTATCAAATAAATAAATAAAATCTTAAAAAAAAAAAAACCTCATGTTTGCACTGGCTGTCATCAGAGTAGCAGGCATGTGATGGTCTGCCTTTAGCATTTAATTCAATGATGCACTTGCAGATTTGGGTAAAGATACAAATTTGATTCAACTGATCTCATTTAACAGTTTATGAAAAAAAGCTTCAATTTACCTTTTTTCCATTTGTTTTGCTTCAGCATTTCCCTACCAAGTAGGTCTGATTGTACTGTCACCCTCACACTCAATGTATAGATAAATATAGTGGGAAATAATCACTGGGAGGAAAATTAAGGTTTGGGTCATACATCAACTCTGCTTAGTTGGCATCCAAACACACAATTCACATTGCTGAACAGACTCCAGTGATTGCTTATCCATTACAGATCAATTGCAGAAAAGGCTGTAACATTATTAGAAGCATAATTTAGGAATCCTTTAAACATTTAAGATTTAAACCTCACTTACTGAATAGCCAATACACAATAATTAACCCATGTGTGAAATTAAATTCAACCCTAAGGGATATTTATATGCATGTTGTTTTCAATCCTGTTTGAAGCCTTTCTAAGCAAACTGTACGCTAAAGGATCAAAAGGCAGTCTTAACCGACCTGACTCCAAACCGCCACCATTCTATCCTAAAGAGTATCACCTTACCATTCATCACCTGCTTAATATAAAACATCCAAATGTATATATCTATAGCCCATTAAGAAACACATTTGTCCAATATTAGGCTGTTTAAATTTTATAATGTGCTACCCGTTAACATTCACAATCATTGAGCAGTTGAATAGTTTTCTTTTTGTCCGTTGCTGCTCAGAACCCACTTCTACTGCCATCAGCATTCCCGTTTGATCACATAGTATCTGGTGAAAATCTGCCTTTCTTTGCCCCAGGCTCCTTATCTCCAAGCGCCATCTTAACCAAGGTGGAGGGCCAAGAAAGTAGGGATGACCCTGGGAAGTCCATCAAAACTACCACAAGAGTTTTCAAATCACGAACCTATAGACAAAGGTAGGAAAAGTTTTCACAGAAGAAAAACAATCGCTGTTGCCTTGCCAGCTCTAAAAGTTGTAAGTGTAGAGGTCACCTCACCCACCCTCTGATACCAAACTCCTACATAAAGCCTTCTGTCATTCAAATGTAAAATGTTCTACTACTGGATATTGCAAACAACTGGATAACTAGAAATTATGCTGGAAATGGTGGACTTCATGGATGTGGACCAGTGAGAGAGATTCTGCTCTCAATTTTAGCTTTTTTGTTATTTAATTTCAAGAGACTTTATCTGTGGAGAATATGGGCCTTTGTGGCAGGAGTTGGTTACTTGTTGAGGAAATGATCAAAGCAGTGGATTTACACCGTGTTTGTTTCTCTTTTTATTACTAGACCCTTCTAAGCTTTATAACTTGCACAGAATCACTTGACCGTTCCATGCCTCGATTTCCTCATCTGTAACAAGGGGTTAAATAATAATACTTCATGAGGAATGAATCGATTGATTCCATGTATAGCTCCACGAATAATACCTGACATATGCTAAGCTCTCAGTAAATATTAGCCAGTATTCTCCTCCTCCCGAAAAAGTAGTGCATGTAATGACAGAGTCCTTATTACCTGTTGGTCAGAATCCATTAAAATAGACATACTCCTGTCTAAAGGAGTTTACACCTAAATATAAAAAAGACCAATGAGGAAAGGTACTTTAGTCGGGTCTATTCAATGGAGGAGACAGTGGTGTTTAAGGACTATCATTTAAAAAGTCTTCATGCGCTGAAAGGATTTTTATAAGGATGATGGC